TATTTTGGGGTCTATAACAACTGCAAAGCTGCACTAGTGTGAATTTTCCTCTGTCTTAAGGACGTAAAAATCCTTCAAGGTGTACATGAGCCACTTTTGAACAGGTGGATCACAAGTACCTGTTCTCTGCTTCTTAAGTTTCAGCATTCATACTGTGGATTTTTAAAAATTAATTTTTGTTACAGAAAAATGTTAATTGCCAGCTTTCTTACTGTTGGTGCCACACAAACTTGTATGCTGTGCATCAGACTGAAAGTTGGTTGTGGGGGTTGGGTTTTGTTTTTCCGTAAAACTCTCCATTTTAGTGGCACACAGGTCTGAAAAGGAGCAGTAAAATCCACACATCCTTGGGCAGCCTCCGTGCAGGGTTATATCTCCTCAAGTGCTGAGTGCCCCAGGTCCTGCTCCCTTGGGCTTGAGCTGCCACTACGGAAAGTTGTGTGTGATCTGGACATGACACAGCTCCTCACACACAGCCTGGAGGAGTTTTATCCTGGGGGGAAGAAAGAAAAGGAGACTAATGTAGATGGAAGAGAGCACAGGGAAACTGTAGACACCACCAGATAGTAGACCCCAGAGGCACTGCTCCTGGTACATGAATAGGCTTATGCCAAGTTCTTAATTCTGTAGGGAGACTTCTGTAATTAGTGCTCTGTAACAAACAAACAGCTTGCATGGCTGCAGGATATATTTCACAGAAGTCTTCAGTGCTCTGTACTAGTAGCTGTGATGCCTTTTTGTAAATTTAAAACACACAAAAAACCAGCCTTAGCAGAGTCATTGTGAAATGGGTTTTTCACAGAACTGCCTGTGGTTTATCTACACAGTGTCGGTCAGAGCCAGAAATTAGAGACCTTTAAAGAGCTGTTACTTGAATAATTTTTAAATTATTCAAAGAAAAGGAGTAGCACGTTTCTTCTGGTAGTTAAAAATTGGGAAAACTACATAATGTCTCCAGTACAAAAGCTCATCACAAGTGAGATAGTTTAAATAGAAACAAGGAGTAGTGGGGGATAGTTTCTGAAGTGGCTTTCAAAAGCTGCTGCCACACAAAGGTTGAGTGGAGAGGGAAAGGGGAAAGAACCAGAATAGGCTTGAATGCTGTACAGAAACATTTCTAAGAGATCAACGGAGGAGCAAAGTTTCCTTTGCATAACTGAGATGCTGGTGGTGTAAAACTAACCTCTGGGTGTAGGTGAGGGACTGCGACAGGAGTGTAGCCTGCAAAGCTAAACAGCTCTACACTGGGAATCCTGCTTACATTGGGCTGCTGCAACCTCCTGGCAGTGCTGAGACATCGTGTTGAGATGGTCACGAGTGAAGTACCTGTCACTGTCAGGCTCGTCTGTAACAGCAGGTCATGTGGCAGTTCTGTCCTGCTCCTGCACAAGTTTCTTTCTTAGCTGTGTGTTGTCATGTCTGGCTTAGCTGCACGGGGAATTTCCTCAGGGGAGGGTTTTTGTGTCTGTTGACATCTAGTGGGAGAGATTCTAGTTCTGTCTGTAGTGAACATACCATAGTAATGCTGTTTCTTAAGCCTGGGAGGAATGTGCTCTTTCTGCTGGAGGATTTGTTGAGTTTCACCCTGAGAATGAGCTGGCTCATTGGCTCCAACTGGACCTCAGTCTCTTTACTCTCCAGTCAGTAGGGATCCTGTTGCTGTCCTAACCAGTGACCCATGGGACAAATAGGAAGGAATGTTTTTGTTTGGTTTAAGTAGTGTTTCTAACCTCAAGCCAGGGAGATTCACCTGTGTGTTTAAAAGTGCTGAATAGAAGAGCCACTTAATGCCTGATTCTGGCACTAATTGCCTGTGTGAAACTCCCTGTTATTCTGTTAGGCAGGATAGGCTGATGGTCAGTGTTTATCTCATCCTTTGATTTTAAATTTAAGAGCATTTATGGTAGGTGTGCTGAAGCTGCTGATGAGTAGGACCAAACCCACCATGGTATAAAATAGTGACCAGTGTGTCCAGTAGCATTGGCTGTGCCTTCTCCTCAAGCTGCTCTTGGACTGCACAGCTGAGCACTTGGAAGTCATGGCATGAGGGAACACCTGGGCCATGATATGTCCCATCCATTTGCTGAGTGACTCTGGTGTCTGTGCAGAAGTTAAATTCCACATGTGTTGGCATTCTGCTCTCTGAAAAGACTACATATTTCTGTTAGTACTTCCAAACATACACCTGCCATGTTCCCGTATGTGTCAGAAGGTGCTGGAAGCTTTGGGGTGTGCTCATGTTGTGGATAGGTCAGTTGGAGAGCTGTCACCCGAAGAGGCAATCCTGCTCCTTCCTCACCCTCTGCTGGGTGCTCCTGGCCGTTGGAACCAAGACCCATGGAACAACCAGTGAGTTGCTTCAGCTGAATCATGTGGCAGCATGTTGGTCTTGTCACTGAAAACCCAACTGGTAGAATAAAAGATGCTTCTGTGTAGAATCACAGAATGATTTTGATGGGGTTGGAAGGAACCTTAAAGATCATCTTGTTCCAAACCTCTGCCATGGGCAGGGGCACCTTTCACTAGAGCAGGTTGCTCAATACTCTCATCTCCTTGGACCTTACAGATTCTGCTGACCTTCAACCCTGGGAACTTCAATCTACCTTTTTATCAGTATCTTTCATTAATTTATTTTACAAGTCCATATTCTTACTGTGATTTAGCTGGTTTTTATCAGAAGGGTGTGTGGTGTGGGTACAGTTCTCACACATACATCATCTGATGGATTCAAAACATCTTGATTCTGTTCCTTTTAGTTTTATCAGTGTAGTTTTTGTTAACTAGTTTGAACTAATCATTAAAAAGACAATGGAGAGAGGATTAAGTACAAATTTAGAGTTTCATATCTTGTACCAAACCAACTAAACATATTAGTGCTGAGAACTGAATTTGCTGTTGTTGCTTTGAAAGCCAAGCTGTGCTGTCCTGCCTCTGTGCTAAGTCACAGAATGTGCTGCTGTCCTGCCTGCCTGAAAAGGGGCTGTTCTGTGCAGAAGGTAAAAAATAAACTGGGAAAAGGGAATGGAAGCAGAGTAATTCCTGCAGCATTATCAGTGCACACATTATGGATATTCACCTCTCTGTTCAAGACCGAACTCAAAATAGTTTGGCTCATTACCTCTCAGGTTCTGGGGCCTGAATTTGAACAAACAAGGTCAGCAATAGTTCCTGATCCCCTTCCTCCCTCCTGGGATTGCCAGAGTCTTCCTGAGAGCTGGAATAGTGTTAGTAGGTTAGGGGAGAGGGGGATTTAAGGAGAGACACTGGGTCAGTCAGACAGGATCCAAGGCCTGTCCCTGGGGAAAGCTCTGGGAGTAGTGTGAGGGTAATGATTGTAATCTATAGCAGAATCATCACACCCTACGAAATGATTTAATATACTGTGACAGCAGGTTTTGTTTTACTCCTCAAGTAGTTAAATCTTACACAGAAAAAAATTCCTGAATTGTAAAATACCTGTTGAGAAAAAAGCAGGATAAAGATGCAGTGTTTCTGGATCTTCTGGTTTCACCTTGTGTTCCAGGAGAAGTTCAGCACCACAACCTTGTGCTTCACCTTACAAAAGGTCAAGTCCAGGGTTGTGTCTTGGTTTATCTGCCACTGGTGCCTGTGGTGCAGCCACCAGCAGCGAGAGGCAGTTCCAGGGCTGGGGGTTGGGAGGGTCTTTGCTGGAAGCCTGTGCTGGTGTCCAGGGATAGCTGAGCTTTAGGTATGGAGAAAGGTTGCAAGGCTATTTCCTCCTGAAATGAGGTAGTATCCATCCCATGTCTCTTAAGCATTCCAAATCTTTCCCAGTTTGAGGGATGATTCCAATGGAAGCTTATGCATCAGTGTATGGTTTCCTAAACCAGACCCCACAGGAAGGCTTTGTCCCCTTCAAATCCCTCAGAATGGTTGGACAGTTTAGACCCTTCCTAGGGTTTCTGCTCTCATTAGAGCAGACGTGGAAGGTGAGGAGGGACCAGTTGGTCCTTGGTAGAGTTACTGGAAGTTAAACTCCTTGATCTTGCCCAGGGAGTGTCCTGCGTTTGCAGCTAGGGCTTGTGGGCTAATTCACCTGCAAACCTTCTACAAGGTTTGAAGCAGTTGTATTTCAGGAGTTGTTTTTTGGTAGTTTCCCTCAGAATCCATCCTTGTTTGACCTCTCAGGATCTGTGTGCTGGTGCTTGCCTGGTGTGCTGTCTTGTCAATGATGTGTTGTTTGCTGGGCTGCGTGTGGTTTTGGTTTGGGCTTTTTTTGCTGTGCTGGATTGTTCCTGTCAGTGCTGGAAGGTGAACAGATGAAATGCAATTTAAAGACTTGCTTTATTCTAAAGCCCTGTGCAAATGTATCTTCAGCAGGTGTGAAAACTGGAGCTTTGACTTGGAGTCTGTAATTTTTCTTATGTATGATGTGTATCAATTATTCTAGTAACATTGGAAGCACAGTGTTAAAATGGAAAATCTGAATATTGTGAATGGAGTGGTTTGAGAATGGTGGGAATTAGGTGGCCTGAGCAGCACTGTTAATGTTTAAATATTCTGTATAGCTAGGAACTGAATCATGTTAAACTTTAGTAATACTAAACATAAGGTAATATGGATGCAGTTTCAAATTAATCAGGTGAGACTAATAAACTGGCTCTGTAAGGTGCAATGAGAATTTTTCTGTTTAAATGTAGAATGTGGGTTATATTGCCTTATTTTGGATATGTGTGACTTTGGGTTGGTTTTGAAACTTAACCATGAAATTCCACTCAGCAGTCTTTGAAGGTGGTGCCTTTTTTCCCCCCATTTTTATTGAAAACAAAAAAAAAATCCTATGTCAATTTCTGCATGGGTTTTAAAATGACTTTTAACAAGACTAGTGAGAATAAATAGCTTAACTTGCCTGTCTGGTACTTACTCTTTGGAAATGACATTTCACAGCCCTTTCTTTATAGGTTGGTACCTGATCTTCATGAATAGGAAGTGATAAAGTTAAGCCTTTAATATTGTGGGTTTTTTCTCTGTTTTAACAGCTCAAAGGGAAGAGAAAAGGAGTGAAGATAGAGCAGAGTCCACATCAGCATCGAAGAAGACTGTTGTGTCTATAGCAGAGAAACAATCATCTCTCAGCAAAAATCTGCCTTCAAAGAAGTCTCCAGCCTACCCTAACACGTCCCTAACTAAACCACCACTGAAACCTTCTGCTGGAAGTTTCAAAGGTGTCATTCCCAAGAAACCTTGGCATTCATCAGGCAGTGTTCCTTCCAAACAGTCACCTCTCTCTCATGGCTCATCAGTCTCCAAAAAACCAGCTCCATCATCCAGTTTGGGTGGAGGACTCAAAAAGCCTTCACTGCCTTCCATGTCTACTGCAGCTGGAAGTAGCCAAGCCAAAGCATCAGCCAATCCTATCCAGTCACAGCCCAACTCTCAGATTCGACAAAATATTCGACGATCCCTGAAAGAAATTTTATGGAAGAGGTGGGAATTCACTTATTTTATATAGGAAACTACAACTGCAAGTAAATGTTTAGCCTGCAGAGTTTTGTTTATGTCTTGATAAGGAATTTCATGGGGTTGAATTCATGCTGCAAATTGCTACAAGTACAATTGGCATTTCAGGTTTATATTAGAAATAAAAATTCCTGGTATAAAATAAATGTGTATGCGAAAAAGCCTTTAAAAAAAGGAACCTCACTGTTCCTTGTATATTGAGGCAATTACAGTTGAGGAATTGAATTACAGCATAGAAGCTTTTATACTGCAGGTGCTCTGAGTTTTAAAGTCTGGTGATAGCAATGTTGGAGATGTAGTGTTGTAGGGAACATAGTACAAGAAATACTATAGTGAAAGGTTAGAGGCTCATTGAAGGAGATATTCCCTCATAAAAATCAACAAGAAATTCTGGTCAGTGGAGAACTGTCACTTAGGAAACAAAAAAAACCCAAACACACAAAAAAGGTAGATTTCCCCATGATTATTGTTAAAACTAATGCCAACCATCGAGACTTATCCTAAAGAACTGCCCTCTGGGATTGTCTCTGAAATGGAAATGCTGATCTCAGTGGAGAATCTAGGACTGAAACTCAAGTGCTTGGGCTCCCTGTGTCACTCTGGGCAGAGAAACTCCTCTCCTGACTGCAGGGCCTCTAGCAGGAGGACAGGCTGACAGATTTCCCAAAGGCTCTGTCTTCCCTGGCCATCTGTGGGCAGTAATGAAAGTTTGCCTGAGTTCAGGGTCCTGAGGTAGACTTTGGCTTTGGGGTGTCATTTAAAGTCTTGAACCCTCCCTGGATGAGGAGCAGCTGAGGTCAGCTCTGAGCAGTTGGGTTTTATGAATGCTGCCTGATCATTCCCACCTGACATAACCACATGTGCCTGTTCTTGTTTTCAACAGAGTCAATGACAGTGATGACCTGGTCATGACAGAGAGTGAAGTAGGGAAAATAGCACTTAATATTGAAAAGGAGATGTTTAATTTGTTCCAAGTTACAGACACCAGATACAAGAGTAAATACCGGAGCATCATGTTCAATCTCAAGGACCCCAAAAACCAGGTTTGGAGTTTTCTTAAGCAATCAGCTTATACAGAAATGTACTTTTGGGCTTTGATGCTGTCAGACTCTACCCTCAGCATTAAGAGTTTCAATAGAGATTTATGAATTAAACTCTTATGATAAAGCCATTCAAACATTTTTAACTATTTTAATCCAAGTAGGAGCTCAAACTTACTTTAGTTGGTCATGTGTATTTATTGAGTTGGGCATTTTGGTGTGAAATATTTGTTTACAGAATGTCTTTCTTAAAATAAATACAAGCATCTGTTTCTCTTGTGACATTCTGTAGTACATGTTGGATACATGATCATATCTGTGCTTTAAAAGAAGAAAACAGCTGGTGGTACAGATGAAAACATACACTAGAGAGCACTTGAAACTTCGTGTTTTGAATTTCCAGAACAGATCTGAAACAGGAGAGTGACTGTTCAGCCTCTGACATTGCTCTGACTACCACTATACTGGTAGTGAGGGTAATGAGGAAAATCTGTACCTGGTGTTTATTTCATCCTTATTTTCTGGTTGCTGCACCTTTCCAGATTTGTTTATAAGTAGCTGGTATTTTTAATAGAGAATTCAGAAACTGGAGGAGGTTTTGTATGTTAAGCACTGTTAGTCTTGTTAGGTACCTGAGCAGGTTCTCTTCAGCATGGCAACAGTCTCTTCTGTTTTCAGGGACTTTTCCATCGTGTCCTTCGTGAGGAAATCTCCCTGTCAAAACTAGTGAGAATGAAACCAGAAGAACTTTTATCTAAAGAACTCTCTGTGTGGAAAGAGAAACCAGCTAAAGCAGTAAGTAACATCATTTCCTCTATGTCCTAGATGCAAATTAAGAGCAAGTTTGCCAACTCTTACCACCATGCTATGTTATTGCACCATTTTCCTCTTAAAAAAATACTAATAACCCTCAGTTTCAGTATCATTTTTCTCTACCACATGTGCAATGATAATAAAATATGGAATAAAATATATGTATGGACTTCTTACCATCATGGTTTTGTCTCTTCCAGGTGATGGAGTCAAGAAGCAAAGCTCATGAAGTCAAGAAAACAGCTGTAAAACGGGAACATGTGCCAGTTGTCAATATGGAAGATTCTCCACCAGTGTCTGATTCTGATGTAAGTATGGGCTGCTGCTTCAGCATGAGGACATCAAGGAGGGGAAATGGCAGTTAGAACCTGAAATTTGCCATCAGAAGTGCAGATTGTTTCGCTGAGCTGTAGGGTCATCATTGCCTAGTGGGTGTGCTATGAGTTTTTTTTGTTCTAATGTGAAGGAGTGCAACAAGCAATGATAGGCATATTGTGCAGGCATTTCAAAAATGCTGTGTATTTTTCAGCCCTTGCTGTCAATTTACAGAGAAATCTTTTGTTTCTGAACATTAGCTCTACTTCAAAACAGCCTGGAATGAAATGAGGACAAATATCATTTGAGAACTCTATCTGACAATTTGTTTAACCAAAGCCTTTCATCTTCTCTCTTTTAAAGAAGTGAAGTTAATTAGCAGTTTCCAAAGCATCTTGTTATCAATGAAATTAATGCTCAACTGGAGTATTTTTGGTGTTTATTCATTTTTAGGAGCAGCAGGAGTCAGCCCGAACTGCCCCCAATTCAAACAGTGCTCCTGCTCTGGATGTTTTCAGCAGTATGTTGAAGGATACAACAAGTCAACATCGAGCCCATCTCTTTGACCTGAACTGCAAAATCTGTACAGGTATTTACAGTGCTGACCTTAGGCAAAGGAAAAAGGATTGTTACTTTAAGAGTCGTGCTTATTTATGTGGGTTTTTTTCTCCAAGCTATTTCATTGTTCAATAGTAATCGAAAGCTTTTGAAATGAATTTATAGGTCAGATTTCAGCATCTGAAGATGAGGCACCACCGAAGAAGATGAAGACAGGGAGTTCTGCTAAGAAGGCAGAGTCAAAATCAAAAGCAGAAGTTGAGCCCAAGTATGAAAGTTCTGCTCCAGCAGCAGAGCCTGACAAGGAGCAGGTCACTGAGGATGATGCAATGGATATTGATGTTGAACCAGCAGCAGAAACAGTTTCTCAGCCAAGCACAGAAATAACTTATGTTCCTACGAGCCAGAGTCATAACAGCACAGACTCTGCTGTACCTGAAGAGGTCTCTGTTTTTCCTGCCACTTGTGCTGGCCCAGTTGTCACAACTGTAACGGTTTCTGGCAGAGACCCCAGGACAGCCATGAGCAGCAACTCTGGCATGATGACGTCGGCTCTGCGTTCTGGGCCTGCAGCTGACAAAGTCTCAACAGGGGAAACCAAACAGGAAACTTCCAAACCAGTTATGACTGTCCCCAAATCCATATTGACAAAACCTTCCTCCTCACCAGATCCCAGATACCTGCCGGTCCATCAGTCACCCAACATCAAGTGCGTATATTTCACAGCCAGCCAAGCTGCCAAATCTCTCCTGTGCTTCTCTTCAGGGTCCCATTTCTGTTCTCCTGTCCTATTACCTTTCCCTCAATTAAAAGGCATGTTCAGGTTTAAAGTTCAGGTAGCCTGATTGACATTTTTAATTTACTGTCTCTCCTCATTTGCTTTCTCTAGCTGATTAATTTTTCAGAGCATCAGTGTATATAATAGCAAAGGTTTCTGATCAATAAAACTTGAGGTATTCTGCAGACTTAGAAGTCTGCAGGTACATGGATACAGAGAAAGATAGTGTATGGGAGAGATGGTTTAAAGGCATTCCCAGATTTTCATACTAGATTAAAAGACTATTGCAGCTGAATATCAATTAAAATTAAGCAGTTGATCAGCTTGAAAGGAAGTTAATTTCTTTCATATCCTGGGTACGTGCAGTAGTAAAAATAAATGCTGCAGAGTGTACTTTGCAGTTAAAATGTCTTTATTCATAGCAAATTCTCTTACCTAAGAATCTCTTTCAGATGGATGTTTGTTGACTTAATTAATGGGAAATCTGTCATACCAGTTAGTTTATGGAGTCAGGATCACAGCAGTTATGGTGCTAACTTAACTTTATAAAAGTCTTGTCTTTTGGCATCTCTTTGCTTGGTTACAGCTAATAACTATTTGCTGTTCACTAATACTAAGTTAGTAGAAAACATTAACAAAGCAGTTAGTAAAAATGTTGTCATTTGGTTAAAAGAAGTGTGTGATCAGCATGAGGAGGGAAGAAAAAGTAAAAGAGAAGGGCCCATCCTCATTTCCTTCTGTAACCTTTCTGTTTGGATCTGTTTTGCAGTGTTGCAGAGCCACGATCGCCTCAGGACAGTGACACTTCCCTCTTTCTCTCCCGTCTCAACACCATTTGGAAAGGATTCATTAACATGCAAAGTGTGGCCAAATTTGTCACTAAAGCATATCCAGTCTCCGGGTGCTTTGATTATCTTAGTGAGGTTAGCACTGACCTGTTGTGTGTTTGGAATTGCTGCAGATCCTGTTGCTGCAAAGACTTGGGGCACTGTGTGTTTATATCAGACATGGTAAATGGCATCCCTTCAGTACTAGGAAGAGTAGCTCAGGAGAAAACCCAACCTTTTAAAAATTCCTCATAAATTCGTGAAGAATTCTGACATCTTTGAGCATGTTTAGGATGTTAGGATCTAATATGGAGAAATGGCTTTATTTCAGCCTCATAGTTTTAGAGCCAGTGTGTTAAAGTGAAAGCCTTTTTCTCTTTTCAGGCTGGGTAAGTCACTGATGTGATCAATTGCACAACTTTGGCTGTTTGTGAACAATATCATCCTTTTAACTAATTTTCAAGTAGAACCAGTCAGATGATAACTGGTCTGGCAGGGTGTGCATTCACATGATGAGACAGCAGAAAGGTTTGCACTATAATAAGAAAGCTTTTCTTTCTCTGAAGAGCATTTTCTGCCACACTTGGGAGGTTTCAAACACAAATGTGTGGTTTAGTACTTACGTTAGTAGGGTTGATGCTGCTTTCAGGTATTGTTTTTGCTGAAATGAGGTTCACAGTCCTCGTGGCAGGAAGTTCACTAGAATTTGAGTGACTTGCAGTCACTGAAAGCATGGACAAAATCTGCCTCTCAGGTAGCAGCTTCCCTCTGAATGCCAATAATGGGCACACACAACCATTTGTGGTGTGGTTGCTCTCCCTGTTTGGGAGTGTGGTTCTGTTTCATGTATCCTCTTGGCTTTTGGGTCACATTAAACACCTCCAAACTTAGAAACAGCCAGTCTGAAACTAGAAAAGTGTGTGTGAAAGTTTACTGAAATGCAATAGGGCATTATCCCCTGGGCTGCTGGGATGGGGCAACCTGCACTGCTTTTTTTGGTTTGTTTTTTTTCTCATACTACCATGTAATACTTCTTGTTTAGGATTTACCAGATACAATTCATATTGGGGGGAGGATCTCACCGAAGACAGTCTGGGATTATGTTGGCAAACTCAAATCTTCGCTTTCTAAGGTATTCACTTAAACTCCTTTGCAAAACCCAGAAGAAATATACAGCAATTTAAAATGACAACTTGTTATCATAGAAGATAGTAAAGAGCAAATACTGACATAGATCAGACCTGGAAAACTACCAAAATCACATCTCTGAAACTTCTGTTTATTGAATATGTTTATTAGCTGCAGATCTGAATCAATCTCTCCTGCATAGTAGTTAAATCTTCATACTATTTATGAATTGAAATATTGAAGATTGAAATTCAAATTTTAAAGGAAAGGAACTTAATATATGTAAGAGATTTTAGTATTAAAATAGATTTTCGTATTAAAACCAGTTCAGAATTGAAAAAATGAGGCACAGGGTACAGAGATAATCATGAAACTAGGAATTTTCCACTTGTTTCTTATTAATTTGAGCCTCAGGATGTTTAGTTTGATGTTAGATACACAAATAATTTGTATTTCTGGAAATGGCAAACCTAACTCTGTCTTAAGGCTAGAGTGTTGCCCTGAGGGCATAGTTGGAATGATAAATGTGCAGTTTATTTTACCCTTGGAATTTGCCCTTTGCCATTTTATTTGCTGGTATGTTGCAGGTTGAATTTTTCCCACTTTGCTTTTCTATTCCAGGAATTGTGTTTGATTCGTTTCCATCCTGCAACAGAAGAAGAAGAAGTTGCCTATATCTCTCTCTACTCCTATTTTAGCAGTCGTGGTCGTTTTGGTGTTGTAGCTAATAACAACAGACATGTCAAGGATCTCTACCTGATCCCCCTGAGTTCTAAGGACCCAATTCCTTCCAAACTCTTGCCCTTTGAGGGACCAGGTAAGCACAAAACAGGGGAGGTTAAATGCTAGGTAAAATCACAAGGCAAAAGGCAATCTGAGAAAAGCTGTTGAATATTTAATGTAACCACTATTTAAATTTCTTAATATAAAACCAATTTTAAAGTATGTAAATAGGGAAAAGCTGGAAATCCAACTCTGCTCAAGATTAAATTGTCTGGAATTTACACAGTCTTTATAACAAGATGCTCATATGTGTTAGGAGAATCAGTTTACCTATAAAATCAAGGATATGAAACAACCAATATATTAAAAAAAACCACCAAAAATTCCTACCTTTTTGTCAGCAAACCCTAAATTCACAAACCTTAGACCCTTATAAGCTATTTACCAACACTTAACTCAAGCAGGAAACTTATCTGGCACAGAAGTCAAGAAATCAATGAAGACAAAGGTAACATTTCTGGTGATTTCAGTGCATTGTCACTGTCCATCCTGTGTTACTCTGGACCTGCAGTGTGGGGCACGAGGTGTTTGAAATGTTCCATTGGCTCAAACTCTAGGCAAATCACTGACTCCTGAAGATCAGTTCTTTGGGGGAGAAGAGATGTTCCTTAGGGTTAGCAGGTAGCAGACTGCAGTTGGCATAGGCAGGTTATATTCTAATCCTCTCTTTTGAGGTAAAATTACCTGTAGTAATGTTTGGTGAGTTCACTCCATGTTTGTGTGCCGAACATGGTGGCAGAAGAACTGAGAATGAATTCAACCAGGAAACACCTTTCTCTTATAAAATCTGAAGTAGTCTTCATCTGAGGATGGAGGAGGTGCTTGTGCTTACTTTCCAAAGCAGCATCTGGGGCTTTGTAGGAGATGACAGGCTGAAGAGCTGCAGGTTCCAGTGAAGGTAGTGCTGCATTGTCATGGCCATGGGTGGCACTGAACGGTAGGTATGAAACAACCAGCACACAGCAGCTGAGCTTGCTGGGAAGCTGATTGCTCTCTGCTTCTCAAAGACAAGTGTTGCACTAAAGTCAATAAAGCATTCTCAGAGCTTACATACAGGAGCAACAGAGGCTGGGACAGGTTTTCATGGCTTAGAACAACTGAAACATCGTTAGTTAAGTGCTCTCCCTTCCTCCATGAGGTGGCCAAGGGCACTTGCTCTGCATCCTCAGACAAGACTTTTCTCATGCACTCTGAGCCTGTTTAATCCATCATTGAACAGTGCACAGTCTGGGTCATTGGTTTTAGGCAACAGCTACAAAGGCAGGATTATTGCTGTTAGAAGTTACAGCAATGTAGCTTGGACTGTTGAATCTCAGCACCTCATAGTCTGTAGTTCTTGAAAGGCAGGCAAAAACTCTTACCCCCATTTCATAGCCAAGAAGTGAAAACACCAAGTACAGAATGCCTTGCACAGGGGTGTAGGCAGAGAGTCTTCACTCATGGACTCATTTTTCCAGGCAGAACAAAGGAATCACCCCCTTTTCTGGGCAGTAGCACAAGGATGGGATTGGCCATTGAACCAGCTGTAAATGTCTGCTGGGCTGGTAAATAACTTGTTTTAGGGGAGACATTTACCTAATTGTTTCCTCTTGCATTCCTGTGGAAATGCGAACTTTCTTTTTTACACTTCTTCTCTATTACAGGTTTCATTTCAAATGAAACTCTTAACCTTAGACTGGAGGTTGGCAAATGTAGGCAAACTTTACTATTAGTAGAGAAATCAGCAATGTCAGCCTGGTTTTGCTGTTTCAAGTGCAAAAGTTGCACAAAACTGGAGGTTGTTGCTCAGAACAAACACAGGTGTTCATGGAGGCAAATTTGAAGAGTCAGGTTTTCAAACTGGCAAATTTGATTGGGCCAAGTGGATTGGAGACTAGCAATAGAAACAAGATCCCAAGGGCAGGCAGGCCATGAGGTGTGGAGCAGTTCCACAGAAGACCCACTTAGAGTTCTGTCATTGATTTGCTCTTGTTGGACACTCCTGTGGCAGCTTTTGCCTCGCAGCTCTGTAAGTTGTGCTCGTGCTTTAAAACCAGATCAATCAGGTAAGCTGCTCTGGGTTTGTGTACGTATGAAAACCACAGCATGTAATTCACACTTTTTAATGACATATGATGGAATTTACTGTTTTTTCTTCCTTTCACAATCAATAAAAATATTTTGTGAAACGTGGTCATTGTCTCCTTAAATTCAATCGTGTGCCTGCCAGTAGAGTTTAGCAAGGCCTGGAAAAGCATTGCCTTTAGATGGTTTGATAGCTGTGACCTGAGGGGGGAGGAGGGAGAGGATAATCAAGCCCTGCCACTCCAGAAATCCTAGTTAGAAGGTATTCCAGCTGTATCAGCCAGTTCCATCAGGCACATATGGATTAGGAATTTCTCCTGTTTCCTGATGAACTGGATTTGGAACACAACTGAGGACTTCTGAACTGCACTAGTACCTAGAAGATCTACAGAAAACGTTGACATGGGTGGTTTGAAAGCAGAGGAAAATGGAAGGTTATCCTGATTTATATTTAATTAATCTCAGACATTTAATTACCAGATTTTATGTTCATGGACTCTTCTGCACAGGCTTTTTGCAGTGGTTTATTGTATGTGAATTCACTTCTGTTTCACATACACACTTTATTTTAGCACTTCCATCTGTAGATCTTAAAGCACTTTGTAAAAAATAGCATAATCAGGCTTAGTTACCAATAGAAAGTGATTTATTGAGGGATTTAGTGGTGACGTTGGGAACATAACTATATTATGTAGCTAAACTAAAGGAATTTTAATAACACAGACATATATCAGCTAAAGATTCCACAAATGCTGATACATCTTTTGGTAGTTTACAATGGGAGCTGTGGGTTTTCATAAAGTATGCAGGCGTGGAATCTCATGCTGTTAAATGCTCTTAAAAATTGCAACAAATGGACCAGAATTTGAACTGTTAGTGAAGTTCAATGTCTCTGTCTCAGCAGATAACATTAGGAAAAGCAGCAGCAGTAGAAGAATGTGGCACTATGAGCCTGATTTTCTGTGCCAGCCAGTTCCACTCAGCAAGGGAACCTGAGTGTGGAGCAGTGTCACAGTGCTGGGAGTGATCTGTGGCCTTCAATTAAGGGGACACAAATTTGATGGCATGATTAATCTGGACAAATATCTAATGGCATTGATAAAATCTTGTACTGGTCTCTGCAGTTTACAACTCACCATGACTTAGTCTGCTCCTGTGGGTCTGTCATGGGTGGGCAAAAGTGAAATGTGTCTTTAGCAGGACAAGTCACTTGTTACCAGCTGCTGGTGACAGGGAAAGATGTGGCCAATAAACACATAAATATGGTAAAATTGATCTAACGACCAAATGTATTTAAGGCTAAGAAAACCAAATCTTAATCCAGTACTAATATGTAGTAGCTCCTGTTTGAATGGCTTGAGTTGCAGGCTATAACTCAATAAAACCAGCACGGGGACTTCAATGCATAATAGGATAATAACTGTTATAAATAATTTAGCTTTGCAAGCTGCTAACTCTGCCAGCACAGCTTGCAGCACTTTGAAAGTGGTGTTTGTGAAAGGCAGTTGAGCAATAGTGGCAGATTGCAGCCAACATTTTCCTCGTTCCTAAAATTAGGCACTTCACCTATTTATGGACATTGAGCTAGAACAGGGCTGACCTTTGGAAGCTGCTCTGGCTCTCTCTCCATTCAAAGGAGCACTTACTGTTTGATCTCTTTGAACTGAGCTAATGTAGAAGTCAGGCAAAACTTATAATATTTGTGTAAAATTCCAGTGTCAAAATGTAAGATTTTAATGGATTTATTCTATAATTGCTACATTCTAAACAGAATAATTTATAACTAAGGGTATTCACTTACTGCTGGAATTCATTGCCTTGAATGTGTATTAAAATTTTACCCTCTTTTAATTAGTGACTTGATCTTTGACTCTTACAGAGACTCAAACCTGATTTCTCAGTAATTGCTGTTTATTAGATATCCTGCCTGGTGATTTTTGAAACATGTTTATTTCAGTTATTTGGTGATTGAGATTTGTTTTGACTAATTGCATAAATCACAAGTCTCTGCATGAAAGTCAATAACCAAAAGGTCAACAACAGAAGAACAACAAATGCCTACTGAGAGTTTTTGGGTGAACACCAGTTTGTGAGATTCTCTGTACTGGTCAACACTGACCAACTGGGGAGTTGTTATCCATTAACATAAATTTAGGATAACAGCTGATGTGGTTTTCTTAATAGAAGGTAAATTTAAGAGTCCCTATAGAACTTTGAATTGAGTTGTTTCAGCAGAGTAATGTATGTGTGATGTGGTTTGCTAATGGAATGTACCTGCTACTGGGAGGTTTGGGGGTTTTGTTGGTATCAAAAAGTTTTCAGTGCTAATAATTAGCTATTTAAAAATGGTTCCTTAATGAGCAGTTGGTTTAATAAGAACAAGGAACATATGTAGATACACATATGTCTAAATCTCTTCTGGGATCTCAAGTAGAAGGATCAAGATGGGTCAGAGCTCTCCTCTTGCCATTTGACCACAGTGAATATTAGCTAATATTTCACAGGATATTTTGTGTTTCTATGTTGCTGCTTCCCTGCTGGATGCAAACAACTGATGGCACATATGATGCAAAGACAGTGGTCCTCAAATGAGCACCTTTTAAAGGCCATGAAATCCAGAAGTTCAAAAAGCCTCTCTTAATGCAGATTTTCTACATTTGCTGCCAACTGTATGCAACTGTATCCCTGCCCTTTGTTCTGGCATGTTTATCTGCCACAAGTGCCAGTGGGCATTGTGCATGTAAGAGGAAGAAATACAGTAACACAAAACAGACCTACAGACCTTTGCATTCTTCCTTGTTATCAGAAACTTTCCTATCGTTTCTGAATGGACTTGGCCAAGGCTTCAAGTCTGAAGCTCTCACAGAGGAGCACACTATGGTTTTTACTTACCTAGAAAACCTGTGGCATCACACTGCATCTTGCAACTGAGCCTCTAGGACCACCTCACCCCTACACACTGCTGGCCCAGCCAAACTCACCTCCTGTGCCAGTTGGGTATGTCCTTGCTTCTGTGGCCCTTTAAAATAATGTCTAGCTGGAAAAAAAGCCAACAAACTGGGAGTAGTCTGCAGGCTTTAGCACTGTTTCCAAATGCAGTTTGTCTGATGTTATCTTTTTAGCCATTCCTGGTATTTGTTTAACTTGGAGACAGACAAAATATTTATAGACTGGTGTCAATGTAGGCTTTTAGCACAGATCATAACTCAATTACGATGTTTAGCCCAGGTTCTCTCACTTCTCAATATCTCTGTGTACAGTGTCTTTGCAGAGTATTGAAATGTAAATATTTGATTTTTTTTTTCAGGAGAGGTGGCAGTGCTTGAACAGCAGCAGAAACAATATAACAATACAGAAATATAAGCACTTTCTTTGGTTTGAACTTTTGCAGAGACACTCTAACAATGATATCTGATGTTGCAATCTTTTATTAAGATCAAGGAAGGGTTTTAAATTTTTTAAACTCATTATGTACAGGTATATAAAAATAAGCAAAGAAATGTAGATGCATATGCTTATGGACTAATGAAAATTGTCAATAGGTGGTCTAATAGAATGTAAAAAACCTGTTACCTTTGTGACTTTTGTAGCTGCCACAATATAAAATAATAGGTTTGTATTGAAAAGCATTGTTAAAAATCGTGAGTTTACATATGCAATCTCTGTGTTTCCTTTCAGGTCTTGAGTCATCTCGGCCAAATTTGATTCTTGGATTGGTTATCTGTCAGAAAGGCAAACGTCTTGCCAGTGGCATTGAGACAGAAAAGGTGGAGGAAAAGCGAAGCAGAATCCAAGCACATGAGGAACCTGAGCCGTCGCTGTTCTCCAAAGGACCTTCAGCAGCTTCGCAAGAGAAGAAAACTCCGAAATACACATTTTATTCAGGAGACTCTACTGTGAGTACAACACCACCTGGGTCTCCTCCTCCACCTCCACCCCCACTGCCTGTTCCAGAAACCTCAGCAGTTACACCTTCAGTACTAAAAATACTGTCATCCATTAAAAGTGGCCCCACCACCACTGTGACTCCACCGATTTCCACTGCGGCTCCTGCGAGCAGCACTGCCACCCAGTCATCCTCCTCAAAAACTGCCACACCTCTCGAGCACATCCTGCAGACCCTCTTTGGCAAGAAGAAAACCTTTGAGCCTCTTGCTAAGGATTCTGGAACTGTCCAGTCTTCAAATCAGGAAGGTCAAGCTGCTGCTGATGGTGGAATGTCAGCGGTCCCTCTGTTAGATCCCATTGTGCAGCAGTTCGGGCAGATGTCAAAAGACAGAGCTATAGAGGAGGAGGAGGATGACAGACCATATGATCCTGAGGAAGAATATGGTCCAGAGAAAGCCTTTGAAGTGCAGCCTGGTGAAAGTGAGAAACGATACAATGTGGAAAAGCCATCTAATGCAGCAGAACTAGAGGATGAGGCCTATGATCCAGAGGATGAAACTATCTTGGAAGAAGCGAAAGTTACCGTTGACGATTTACCCAACAAGATGTATACAGACACTAAAAGCACTTCTTCAGAAACATCTGCTTCATATGTGCCTGATTTATCTGCATCCTCGTCCTTGGTAGAACAGCAGAAAATGTTGGAAGAATTAAACAAACAAATAGAAGAACAGAAAAGACAACTAGAGGAACAAGAAGAAGCCCTCAGACAACAAAGAGCAGCTGTTGGTGTTTCAATGGCTCATTTTTCAGTGTCTGATGCTTTAATGTCACCACCACCAGCAAAACCTTCCCTAATAAAGACTGAATTATTCCATCAGGACCAGCAAGCTGCACAAAAAGTAGATTTACCTTCATCTTTAACTCAGCAAGCACAAGTTTTAAACCAGGGCTGTGACCCAAGGCAGAACAGAGACCCTCGACAGGCTCGAAGGATGGTGACAGAGACTAGTGACAATGTTGATTCTCAAATAAAGCCACAGGTGCTACAGAATGAGATACCCACAAGGGAAATTGTTCCAGCAAGCTTTCCAAATGCTTTGCAGGCTTCACTTGGTAAGGAAGAGAATACTTTAATTTCTGCTACTCAGCCTGGTTTTAGTGCAAATAATTGGGTTTCAAGTGAACAAGTTTCTACAGTGTCCCAGAAAGAGGCATCTAATAGCAAGTTTGAACACACCATTCAAGTTACTTTGGAAAATCTGAGTCAAACAGCTTCTGGAGAACCTTCTACATCCAAACCTATACGTAAAGTGCTGCTTCCAACACCTCCAAATGCATCTTTTCAGCCTAATTTCACCCCATCAAATGACAGCCCATCCCTACAAGATATGCATCAAGTCTCGTGGCCAAATGAGTCAACAGAAGCAATGGGAATGGATTCCTTTTCAAATACAGTGTTTCCTCCTCAGGAAAAAGCAGCTGGACACTTTGAACCAGAGATGGGTCTTCCATCAGTGCAATATGACGAACAAAGAAATCCTCAGCCTCATCAGTTCATAGAACAAACTGAACATCCACAAGTTCAGAGTGAGGATGGACCTCCCCCACAGCACTTTGAGGAAAACAGAGCATTTCCCATGTCTGGGCAGAAAGGAGGTCCTCCACAGACACTCATGCTCAATGCACCTGGAGGACCTCATGGACCTAATTTTAGAGGACCAGCCCCACAGTTCTCTGAAGACCATGGTTTTCCAAATAATGATGGTCAAAGAGGACCTCAGTCTGGAAGATTTGGAGGTCAAAAAGGTCCCCTTCCTTCCTTATTTTCTCCACAGCATGGACCCTCAGCTATGTTTGGTGATAACAGGGGTCCTGCCCCTTCCTATCACGGTGGTCCAAGAGGAATGTCACCATCTCATTTCGAAGATCATAGGGAGCCTCACATGGAACAAAGGGAATTCTCAGATTCCCAATATGATGAAATGATGGGGCCTCCAGGGCAGTTTGAAGGACCAGATTCACCTCAGTTTATGGGCAACAGAGGACCTTTTCCTTTTGGAGGTCAAAGACGACCCCCACCAGCTCATTTTAAAGGGCAGAGAGGAGGCCCTCAGTATGGAGGGCCAAGAGGTCCAGCCCCAAGTCATTTTGGGGGACCAAGAGGACCTCACCCCAATCAATTTGAAGGGCAGAGAGGTCCAGGTCCAAATCATATGTCTGGTCCGAGGGGACTTTTGCCACAGCCATATGAAGAGCGTAGAGGGAGCCCACCACCCAGGTTTTCCAACCAGAGAGGTCCAGGACCACATCAGTTTGGAGGACCGAGAGGAGCTGCACCTGCAATGTTTCCAGAAGAAGATGAACCTCCCCCTTCTAGATTTCATTTCCAGGGTCAGTCACCACAAGGTATGAAACCACCCCCGAGACCACTCCTGGACCTTCCAAGCCATCCACCAACCCACAGAAAAGATATGTGGGAGGAAGGTGGTCCATCTGCATCTCTTTCCAATATGTCTGGACAAGGATCTGAGTCAGAAGGACAGTGGTCCTCATCTGACTTCCGAGAAGGCAAAAATCCTGAATATAGAGGCCAGACATTTGAAGGGAGGCAGCGAGAGAGATATGAGGGAGGAAATAAAGACAAGGGTTTAGATCAGCCAGAGCCTCTGCAAGCAGATAATCGCCAAGGTAGAGCCTTCGAGGAGAGACGAAGGGATCGAGAACACGGCAGACCTTGGGAGAGAGATCGTGGCAGAAACTGGAACAGAGACAGGGACTGGGAGAGGCACCGAGACAAGGAGTGGGATAAAAATAGAGACAGGAACCTAAACAAAGATAGAGACAAGGATTCCGAGCGGGGTAAGGATTGGGAAAGAAGCAGAGACCGAGATAGAGGAAGAAACAGAGACAGAGACTCCTACAGAAGACGTGACAGAGAGCGATCCCGAAGCAGGGACAGGGACCGCGACAGAGACAAAGACAGGGACCGAGATCGGAGCAGGGAAAAGGAAAGAGATCGAGACAGGGATCGAGATCGCGATAAGGGAAGATCGCAAAGACAGGAGCAAGAGTAAGGAAATTGGCAAGGAGACGAAGCCAGAAACCCCCAAGGAAACTCAGAAACCGATGGAAACTGAAGCTTCATCTTCCAGCAATCAGTCATAGAAATATGGCAGATGCATCCCATAAACACTTTTACAACACAGCGAGGACTGAGCAACTTCTGTACATGCTGTATATATTCTCACCTTTCCAGAAATCCTGATGTAAAACTAGCCTTACACAATGTACGGACAGATTAGCAGTTTTGGAACAACTGTGAATTAAAATCGAATAGATGAAAAGCAAGAACATATTGGACTTTCACTTGCTGCATTTTGTGCATAATGTTTTTTCTTACAGAAATTCACAGCGTTACCTGTACTGAGATTTTGGGTTTTTTTCTACTTGCATCTTTATCTTAAAGTTTCCATTTACAGTACAGAAATGGGAAAAGTCTAAGAAGAGCATATTGCTTTTTAAGATTATAAAGTTATGTTTTCCAGTAACTTGAACTGTAATTTTATAAGAGAATTTAATCCAGACCTGAGGAGCCATACCTTTACATCTCATTTATGTGATATTTTGGTGTCAAAATTGTTCCTACAGCACACACTTTAAAAATGTTACTGTTGTGTTTCTTTTACAATGGAAGGGTCATGTTTAGCTAGGGAAAGGCTGCAGAAGGACAGTGTTAATAGTTACTTGTGACTGACAGAGGGTTTGAAAATGGATTTGCAAATGGATTTTACAAGCTTAACGTGCACTATCTTCCCTTTTATATACAGCTATTTTGGGTTTGGGATCCACCATTAAGTGTACAGCAAAGAAACAAACTACTGCTTAGGTTTTTTTTTTCATGAGGTTTTAAATATACCATTTTTACAAATGTCTTGTTAAAGAACATGTGAGAGTAGCACCTTTATAACCAGCACAACTTAGAAAAACATCACTTGTGTATTGGTAAAAAAAGCAAAGGCTACAAATGATATATTGATAAACCAAAGGAAGAAAATTTGGTTAAATAGGCCACAAAATCTGTTACTTGAACTGATTTAGTGGAGCATTTTTGGGTTTGGTTTGGCCGTGCAGAATTTTGCCACAGATATAAGAAATGTCCCAATTTGATTGAATTTTTCATTCGAAAAAGGTTTCACTCTTGAAAAATGAATGTTACTGTTCTTTTGTTAGACCCTGCTTAGGCTGGCAGTGTATATAAACTCTCCCCTGAAAAAGATCCAACTGCTTTAAGCTGGAAATTATGGTGGTACATCATCTTGTGATCCAAGGGGAACATTTTTCATGGTGAAATACACTGTGTTGCTACTCTTCATGCAGTCCTCAAGTACAGAATTCTCAAGTATGAAATAAAACCTCACTAATTTATTTGACAGTGTAAATTAACCATTGGGTAAATATTTTGCTCAAATAGTTTTGGAGAAATAGATTCCTGTAAACACTTTGCATCTTGAGGACTTCATTGCAGGTAGCTTGGAGTGCTTTGTGTTTCACCACAGTCACATTGGTGCATCCCTGAGGTCCTTGTACATCTAGGATCTGCTGGCTGAAATGATCTCTGAACCTCAGGGAAAACGGTAACATGCAAAGAAATGGTCTCAAATGCAAATGTCAACTACGGTGTAAGATTTTTCTTTTCTTAATGAGATGTTTCTAATTTAAAGACATACCTAAAAGTATGCAAAAAGTAAGTGTGTTTGTTTAGGTTTACTTGATAGAAGTTTCTGTAAATTGTATTTTATATGGCAAAATATATCACTGTACATTAAAACATGGGACTTCACAGGTTTTTGTTACTGTAAGTAGAATAAACATCTGCAGAGAGCTGTTGTCCATTTGTTAAATGTGTATGTGTATATTATTTTCTACATCTTCCTACTTCTCTCCAAACCACGAGACCCTCATGGCACATGGGTTTTGTTTCTTCATGGTGCAAGGGCAGATGTCATGTAAGGACATCACTACCAACTGCTATTCAATTGTGAGTCTTCTACAAAGTAGGCAAAAATCTGTGATGATGATTTTTCTCTCAGTGCTAAACCACCCCCTAATTTATTTTGAAGGTTTTTTTTTTTTTTTAATTTGAATTAGGAACTTTGTAATTTGTAGATTTTACTCAAGGAGAAAATCCAAGGAAAAGAAAAAATATTAACTAAGTCGGTTTTGAGCTTAAGAAAAACTCAGTTCACTTATTAATTCCTTGGCTTTACATTGTTATGAAACAGATGCTTTTCATCTTCTAGGAAACTCTATCACAGATCAGTTTGGGGAATCTACTCATGTTTTAGGAACAGTAAATGCATCTTCCCAAAGATCTAGCAGCAAAAAAAGTCAACAGCATAGATAGGCACTGGTGACTGATTCAAACCACAGCTTTATATGGTTTATAATGAGCTGGAGTTGGATTTTGCTGTGAGCTTCCTGTGCTCTTTGCTGTAGCAGGCACTAAATGCCAGGCTGAAACCAACATAGCAATTTAATTCCATTTACAGCGACTAAAAATGTGTCTGAATTATTGTCTTGCATTGCAGGAAAGAGGAAAACAATTCTCTGGCTTTGTCCAAACTTTTCATTTACATGAACTTACTGCATTTAGCTTTTGTCTATGGTTGTGCTAAGCTAAATCAAGTTTTGAGAAAGTATTTTGCTAAATCTGTTTCTGTAAAAGCCTCTGAAAGGTCTGTAACAATATAAGCAGGAATATTAAGATGTCTATAAAAGGCTGTAAAATTCCAACTGTGAGCATTGTAAAGGAGGATTAGAGGAGGAGGAAAGTGTGTATTGAGTTCGGTGTGAATGAAACTGCTTTTAACATTCCTTAAAATGCCAAAGTCACCAGTGATACCATTGGACTTTGGCTACACCTCATGGAATATGCTGCACCTGGACACAGAAATGTCGGTGTGTGCTGCCTTGATTGAATATTCAGCGAACAGATTTGGTTGGTTGGGTTTTTTTTAACCTCCTGCAGGGGGTAAAGATTTCAGAGAGTATTGAAATTGGTTTTTTATTCTGTCTATGACCTGCAGTAGCATTTTTGCGCCTTTCATGCCCTGGGTTGTTTCAAGAATGTGTGTTCTGTGATGAGCATCTGGTTCTGATACTGAAATGAGGTGATAACATCACTATACCAGTCCAGAACAGTGGAACTTTTTAAAGGCATTTTGGAACAGCTTTCTAGCAAAACCCCCCGCACACACTTTTTAAACACTGAGCTAAACACTTTAAACTACTAAAGACTTCATAATTTAGCAGCTTAATCTTGCAGCAGGAACCTCAGGGCTGTGCACTGTCCTGTGGGATGAGTCTGTGGAGCCTCC